TTTTGAGTTTATACGCGCTTTTGGTGGCATGGTGGCGGGTTGAATTACTTCAGCTTTTGAAATGGCAGTCAAAACGCGTTGGGTGATCCGCTCGGTTGCGTGATCCGCTCGCTTACCGATTACGTTAACTACTCATTCATTACTCATTGTATAATCAGCTTCTCCCCCTAAATCTAGTGCTGGTTATCTTCTGGCGAGAGAACAGGATTAATCACATCCTAGCTATCAACTCAATATATTCACATGAACAAATTGCCTTTCCTACATACTTAGAATTCACATCTTATGACTGAGCGCTTGCTGAGACATCTCACTTATTTTTTGAACCTGCAAAGCTAGCAAAGCCAGGAAATTACCATCATTTAAGAGTTTATTGCCCTTGTCACTATAATTGGCAACCTCCGCCCCAATCGCAGTGATCCTAAAATTAGGAAATAATTCACTGATCCAAGCTCGAAGACAAGTAGGCTCTGGTCGCCCTGGTCGCCCTGGTCACCTCGGATCGGCTTGTGTAAAGGTGCTTCTGGGCAGGTGCGCCTAAATTTCATGCCTGTGTCTAGAACCATTGACTGCTGCAAGGCCTTCACTGCTGGAAGTGCGGGTGTCATGCCCAGTGGGCAATTGAAGTCTGCATGAGAATGGCTGGTACCCTGGTAGTTCAAAGTAGTTATGAGAGCATTTCCCAGAATTGATATACGTACTCAGTAATATAGTACTAGTACATGTTCCAATATGCCTCTGTCCTCAAGACCAGCCTGGATGTACATGAATACCTTACACCTGATGTAGTGAGGACTGCAACCCATGTTCATTTGGATATTGTCCTTGGAGATGTATCGAGGACACTCGTCGCCTCCGGTCCAGCCCCTATTACCCCTGGTATTGATCTCGTTGAAGACACCTTGCTAGTTAAGACGAGTATTGGGAAATCACTTTGTGAGGACATGGTGTTCAACGATTAGATCAGTATATTTACCTGACCCGTAGATTCTTTCAGCACTTCCATCCAACCATCCTCCTCGACGATGACGATCTTCCCATCTATGCAAACGCGCCTCCACTTCTCCTCAGCCTCATGAAAATCAATTCTAAAGCCTTCAATTTCCGTGTAGAGGACGCTGCTTTCGTGTACATGCCGCCCCCCATCATACGCGAGAGACATTAGTTGCATGGCTTCTTCTGCGGAGACGGCGCCAAACTGAATTATTCTCAAGCTGCCATCCAATGCAACCGACTCCGGGGAGATAAGAAAGTCTTTCTCGAGCCTTGGAACGAGTGTAGCCAGTACGTACATGTGTTCCCTGCATTCTAGAGTGTCCGTGGAGTTTTCCTTGGTCGCTATGTTAGACCGAAATAATGTGATTTTACCATTGTACCTGTGCGTCTCGACGCCGCTAGACGGGAAAAGGAGCTCCTTGGCTGCCATCCGGAACCTCTCGGCTCCGAACCTTCTATATTCCGGAGTGTCACTATCAGCAACTAAGGCAGCGTGAAAACCCCAGCTTGCCACAACCACACCGTGAATTGAATTCCCTGAGGTCTGGGCCATCGAGCCGTCAAGCATAGGGATCCGAGTTTGGCCCTCATTCGTGACATATTGCGCACCAGGAGAAAAATTAGCAACCAAGGCGGGTATAGGTTTCGGTGACCCTTTCAGCAGTACAGTCAAGCTTGCTGTTGGGCGAGAGAGCAGCCCCAAAGAGCTTGCCATGGCATTACCCGTCCCCATCGGTATCAGAGCGACAGTTGGAGGAACACGCGAAGCACCGAGAGTACTGTGGAATGAATCGACAATATCATTCAGGCCACCATCCCCAGAAAGAAGAATGATTGTTTGGGGAAAACCAAGTTTTGCACGACCAATAAGCCTCGATTGACAGAGTTCGAGTATAGATCGCGCTGATTGTGTCTCATGGACTTCATACTCCGTCAATCCAACATGTGCCAAGAGCGGTTGTACAATGTTTCTGAAGAAACTCTTTGCCTTCCCAGTCCCTGAGGGAACGGAGATAATGACATGAAGATCAATTGCGGAAGGCTTGAAATGTTGGGGAAGTTCCGCACAGAAGTACCGTGACAATAGTGTAGGTGGTGGAGAAACCAATTGTATACTTGCCAGAGAAGATGCACAATCTCCTTGCGAAACAGACGTCGCCTCTTTTGCACCATTCCGCAGATAAAGCATGTTGTAATGCTTTCCATCCTGGCCAGCATGTGGTAGGATGCAGATCACATCATCCATGGCAATCCTAATCTCCTTCTGCCCCTGAAGATCACTGCATTGAATGTCATCATCGGAAACATTACAAGAGAATTGCAAGGCATCAGCCCAAACGGCATCCAGCAATTGTTCCATTTCTCTATTTCGGCACCTGAATCAGTAGTTTTCCTAAAGGTAACTTGATCCAACTTACGTTGCCCAAGAAGCAAGGTTATGATGGAGTCAGTGAATAATGGTGGGAAGGACTTCTAGGAGCCAGCAACAGCATCCATGGATGGTGGGGTAGGGTAAATAAATAATACACAGAGTGACAGAATGCTCATGTTTATCCACCTGTCAATTTGTCATTACGGAGTACAGTAAGCCTTTCCTGAAATGATACTGCGCATACCTAACTTACCTTACCCAGAGTATACCCATGACAGACTCATGACCTCAACTACAACGAACTTCAGCAAATGTAATCATGAACGTCTCTAATTCTCTACATAACCACATACATCACACCTTTGCTTTGCTGTTAACGGAATCAAATCCTGTCATTATGTTACATTCCTCGTCATATACACCTGGGCAAACTTAGGATTGATAACTGGACACATGTTTATCGCTCAAGTTTACGGCAATGAAAGTCTTGGGAAGTTTGACCCTATAGTATTCTCATCAGTAGTTGACCTATAAAACGCAGAGGGATGAAGGTGGATTGTGAAAACGTACGTGTCAAATTTCGCTTTGAGGGTTTCAATGACCTCTTTCCAATCCTGATGGGCAGTTAGGCTTCTTCTCGGAGCGCAACCAATCGCATGCCGCGAATCAAGTTGCACATCCAGCGGATCGAACGCGTGGCAGCCAGGACTGATAGAGATACGGATTGAGTAGGAACTTGTAGATGATTCACAATCCTTAGCCTCATACAGCTCGAAACAGATTTGTGACAGATAATCCAATTCAGGTATAGCGCTTCTGGCTATCTTTGTCTGAATTCCACCCTCTATGATGCAGTTCAGGAGGGTGTAAATATGGGACTCCTTAGTGAAGTAAAAAAAGGATTTCGCATCTGGAGATGCTTGAACTTCTTCGAGGTCTCTGACAATCTCCTGAAGAAGGGGTAAGGACGTCAACAAGCCTATCTCCAGTTTCTCAGAGTCGGTAATTCCATACTCCTGAGGAGTCACGTAGTCGAATAGAACTTTGGCCAATTTGTATAACTCCCGGAGTTTTGAAAGTCGCCCATCCATTTTAGCTTTCGTAGGACTAGAGCCTGGATATAGCTTGAAATAGTGATCATAAGAGTCATCAAGAGCTCTTAGATGCGGTAATGCGTCGAATGCATGTGCACGCTTCTTGAATCGGAGCAGATGTGATAAGGTCGGCATTTCCACGTTTTCCTCCATTCCTTCGCTTATTAGACTGTCATGTCCGGGCTTTTTGTCGCCAACAACGTCGGTACGGTTAGTACTATTAGAATTGGGACTCTGCCGTTCATGCTCGTTGGTCCCGTCATCTGGGGGCATGAATACCCACTCCAGAAAGTGTCTGTTGTGAAGTGCATCGAATTTCATGCTGTCGTATAACTCGGAAAGTTTGCTCGGGTCAACCTTCTCCGTGTCGCAAAATTCTGCAAAAAGCTTTTCCCATCGTTCTTTGAAGAGCATGGGATCTTCACCAGTACACCACCGCCCCTGGATAGAGGAAAGGGTTGGGCTATCCGTGTCCTGAATGACATTCTGAGAGTCAGAATGGTCAGTAAGGGGAAATGAGGTTGAAGGACGATGTGGAGAGTTGCCAATCTTCCGAAAATTGTGTCTCATGACATTTCGGTGAAATTTCATCAACTCAACGACAGTAGCGAGAACAACCGAGGGCTCGGGGATGTTATCCTTGGGCCATGTAAACTGTGAAGGTGCAGACCCTTCGCGCAAAAGCAGTTTCAGCTTCTTTTTCACCTTATCCATAACATCTTTTGCAGCGTTGGAGTCATCCAGAAGATCCTTTCGCACTTGAATAAAATCATCCGGAAGCTCCTTCTGGTCGAGAAAAGAACACGCCCAAATTTGAGCTACAGTAACTCATCAGCTTGCCGCCGGACAATAATGTGCTTTGGAACAGACTTACCACTAGTACTTACTCTTCGCTCCGAGCTTGTAAAGATTCGAACATTATTCAGTGCTTCTTTGTTCATCAATTTCAGATCGTCGCGCATATTGAGACCTAGATCCTGAGATTGGTATCTTGCGGCGTGAGTTGGCTCTCCACCCCACTTGATCACAAGTTGCAACTTGTCTAGGATGAGATCATTCTCGGCAGCGGAGAATCTTGAGAATGTTGTACCGGATATTGAGTCACTGCGGGTAGAGGATCGAGCAAAATTTTCATTATTCCCGATCCCATCATTGGCGATTTGGGTCCAATTAGTTTGCGCTCCGTCGTTGGTTGAGTTCTCTGGGCTATGCGTACCCAATTCCTCCTGCGTTCGCTTGCGAAACATAGGCTTGATTTGAACCTTCGTTCCAGGCCAGCCACCTTTCTTCTCAAGGGATGTTCGAAGCATTCTGAGTTTTTCCATATCTTCCAGTTTCTGATCCATTGCAAGCTTGACAGCCTCCGAGACGCTAGCCAAGGCTGCCTGTCCTTTGATCACCACTTCTTCTTGATGGCCTTTCAACAAATCAATAAACGGCTGACTGTGGAAAGTGAACTTGAACTTTTGCTTTGGCGTACGGTCCGCATGCCTTATGACTGCAACCATACCCTTAAGCTTCCAGGAATGTTTAGATGCTGGAGGTGGAGGCGGAGGAATCGTTTCATCAGTATGGCCGGTCAACTCCGGGGTCTTCGGGTCGAGATCACTTATATCTGAATCGGTCTGGCGCGCATCTGGACTCGTACGACTATGTTTGTAGTCCATACTGTCTGCTCCAGAGGATGCTGGAGGTAACACCGCAAGGTCCTGGAAACTATTGTCGAGGCTCTTATGACTGCCATAGAGTTTGGACGCGGATGGAGATTTCAACAAGGTTTTTAATGTATGCCTGTGAGAGACAGAATGTCTGACATGATGGGTTGTATCTGGTGAGTTCATTTCTGGGGACCTTTGTATTCCCTCGCGTTTGCGCTTTTCATTCAGAAACATGTCGCTCAGGATACTGGCGCATTTGTCGTAATAATCATTGTTGTCCTTGACGAAACTCCATCCATTGACATCGATCACGTAGCTCCTATCCCCGACTCGAAGCATGTCGAAGCCGCAGATTCTTTGGCCAAACCCATTCGATATTTTTGACGCAATTGCTGCCTCATCCTGGCTCAATTTCGTTATGTACCTGAGTTCCTTTCCATGCGTGTTCCGGCGAACGACTCCATCAACCACGGGCGACTTGCGTGTCTCTGCGTGGCAAAAATCTGGCCCGACAGTGTAAGCCTTGACATCCTCAGAATTGTCAACCCTCAGAAATTGTTCGTAAATGTAGCTTGTGTCTTCTTCTGTCACTGATCTAGGTACCACAAGGTTTGGATCGTATTCGGAGCTTTTGTTCCCGACTTTCCGGAAAAGCCTCCGGCCTCCTCCGCCATATTGTTGATCGTTGGGAAAGTATATATGGATGTTGTGGTTCTCCCCGTTCACTGGCTTTTCGACAAAGGGTTTTCTGATAAAATTTCCATCCACAATGAGAGCCTCGCCGTCCTCAGACATTGTTACAACCTGAGTTTTCTGAGAGCCTCCTCCAGTGCCATCTTCAGGGCCTTCGAGCTTGACCCCCGTTAACCTGTAAACGTGCTGAGCAAGCTCCGGAGATTCCAACCTTGGTCCGCCGTCGCGATTGACCTCTAATCTCTTTGGCGTTGGGACGTTCATATGATCTAGAATTCGCAGACACAGTCGTCGGTCCCATAATACTTTCTGCATGGGTAAATCGTTAACGCAAAAAGGCTTTCGAAGCCTCGCGTAAGCGATGGCCTTTTCCAGTGGAAAGCCATCGGAAAAGAAAGCAATTAGAAAGTCGCATACAGGCCAATTCTCTACAGCCTCGTCGAGAATCACCTTGTCTCCGAAAACGATCACTTCGAAACCACCCTTGGCTTGGAGGCGAGTTAAAATGTTCTGACTAGGTTTGCTGCGCGCTTTCACATCCAGAGCGCAGACGCCAATCCTGCCAATGCTTGAATGGCCGGTTTCAGCTTCACTGACCGAGCTGGTAGCTGTGCTGCCACTAAGTCTCCTGGGTGTTCGGCTGGAGGAACGAGCTGAACGAGCAACTCGCGCCCCGCCAGAATGATCTGTCATTACATCTGAGTTCTGAATTTTGTTCTGGTGGAATTGCCCATTACTTGGACTTGCCCTTAAAGATGGTGAAGCCGGGTCGTAAAGAAGGGTGAAAGATGATTTGTCACCAGTCTGATCAGGCACCGTGCTTGATAAAGGCATGGCAGTCAGTACATTTCGCTCATCACTGCCTGTAGCATACCCAACATCAGAAGAGCAATTATGCTGGCTTGTCGAAGGCGTGAAATCTTGAATAGAATTGCTCTGTGTCATCTTTGAAAGTTGCTTGTGGAACTTGAATTCAAAGACTGAGGGCTGCGTTTGAAAGCTCTCATCACAGATTTCTGTTGTTGTTTTCCAATAATGTTCTTTGTCTTCCTTTTCGTCGTTTATGTATTTGAGCCAAGTTTCCCCAGGAGAAAATGATGCATAGTGACTATGAGTTCATCGTCGGAACAATTGGGACTAGATGGGTCCTTGATTTCTGGTTCCAAATGAAAAAGTCAATCTTGGTGAAGAGCCCATTCCGGAAGGTGACTCCGTTTTTCTCCCTCAAAATTGGATATATCTTTGGCAGGCATCAATTATTCATGAAAATAAGACCCTTATTATGACTATTCTGCTAGGTTGTCAGGATAACTCCTTGTCGTCATTACTCAGTATTAATTTTTTAAACGATCACCAGGGACATAGTTGGTAGTAAGCAAAAGACTGAAAATTCTGATCTATTCATATATATTTATCTATTATCAACATAGAATATATACTCCAAACAAAGAAGACAATACTAATACCTAGTAATAATTTGGAAAACCAACTTTATCCTAAGAGCTAAGAGGTAAGAGCTTTATTTATTATTAATATTAGGAGTACTGGCGATTGATTAAGCAGGATTTTGCCAAGGCGGTATTCAAGGCGGGCATGGTAAAGACAGAAATTTTCGGGACAACAAGAACGGAGCAATATCGAGAGCTCCTAGAATCTGAAATTGGCAACAACACTAAGACCTGGCCCAGATTAACATGATGCCTTCACTTGATGAGGATGAATTCAGTGTGCCACTCCCGAAAAGGCAAAAACGAGTCCCTGAGCATCGGAGCATCTCAAATTCGCGAAAGACACTTGAGTCCAGAATATTTTCACCATATCGGGTAAGCCAGGACTGAATTGATCATCATCTCCTTCCCTTAAATGCTCTCCTGACTGATCAGTCTTTAGACACTTGGGCTCGTCTCACCCACAACTGTTCCTTTCACGTATGTGCGCTTGGGGAAAAGTACTTTTCAGATCACGACCTGCGTGGGCCGCGCTTTGCACACCTATGATCTACGCCGAGGGCTGAGTTTGATTTTCATCAGCCGGCCTCAAACGCCAGAGGCCATAACTGCTACCTTTGCGTGGCGTGAGAAGGTCTTTGCAGCGTGGGGAAATCTGAGACCTGGGACATGTGGAGGAATATGGGTTTTCAAACGCGGCAAAAAGGTTGCTGCATTAGAGCTGCCTTCAGGTCGAGCTGAGCCTATCATCAAAATACTTGTTTTTGGCGCTTGGATTGTGGGTTGTACTGGCAACAGAATTGAAGTCTGGAAAAATACGACCTACGAACACTACACGAGTTTGATTCCTCGCGGAATCGAAGCGGTATCTGGAGACCACATCTACGGCGGTCAAATGTGCAGTATGCCGACGTATGTCAATAAGGTGCTCATCGGAAGGGCTGACGGCTGTGTGGACATCTGGAATGTGAGAACCGGAGCGCTACTTCATACCATTCCTCCAGCATTGCCAAATGCTGGGGCTGTGACTGCTCTGCAGCCCACTCCTGTGCTATCTCTTATTGCTATTGCTCATGCGGATGGCTCTCTGTTCATCCGTAACGTCGATACCGAGCAGATTATCTTGTCATTGCACTCGGATTCCTCGCACATCACATCACTCGCCTTCCGGACTGATAGTCTAGGCGCTGGCGCAGATGGCCAATCTCCGGGCGTCTTAGCAACAGCTTCTGTGGATAGTGGCGATATCACTTTGTGGGATTTGAACAACGCAGGGTGTGTCACGGGCGTCCTTCGGAACGCCCACAGAACAGTTCAACATGAAATAGCGTCTGGCATAAATTGCGTGGATTTCTTGGATGGACAACCTTTGTTGGTATCGACTGGAAAAGATAACTCTCTCAGAACCTGGATATTCGATGAGACGCCATTTTCACCCATTCCGAGACAACTTCATTTCAGAAGTGGTCATTCGGCTCCTGTCACAGCGTTGAGTTTCTTGCCCTCGGCATCGGATGGCTCGGAAGCCAATGGTAAATGGCTACTGAGTGCGAGCAAGGACTGCAGCTTATGGGGACTTAGTGTCCGAAAAGACAGCCAAAATACTGAAATTTCGCAGGGCGCAGTTGAGAAGAAAGCCAAGAAAGTGTCTGCTTCAGGTCCTCTAAGCTTAGGCGTGCAGCATCGCACACAGGGTTTCAGAGCTTCAGAGATAAGCTGCATTGCATGCTCACTAAATCACGATGGCGGCATGGGTGTCACCACATCTGGTCCGGTTTGGGCTAATCCGAGAGTAACAGACGCGGATGCTTCGAACAAGACTGGATGGGAGAGTATAGTCACTGGTCACCGTGGGGACAAGTTCGCACGGACTTGGTTTTGGGGTAGGAAAAGAGCCGGGCGCTGGACTTTTGAAACAGGTGACGGATCTGCCGTGAAGGTAAATGGCTGTGGACAATATGTCGCGGAGTATCGCTAACGCTTTATTTCAGAGCGTCGCTATCACACAATGTGGGACTTTCGCTCTCATTGGGTCCAGTATGGGAAGTATTGATGTGTTCAATCTGCAGTCCGGCCAGCATCGACAGAGTCTCCCGGCTCGCGAGTTGAAAGGAAAGCGAACTGGCGATCTGGATCTAGCCAACGGTTCTCAAGAAAAGAAAATTGGACATACAAAGGCAGTCACGGGTTTGGTAGTCGATTCCTTGAACCAGACTGCCATAAGCTGTGGGCTGGATGGGAAAGTCAAGGTACGATATTCGACTCCTTATCAAAAAGTCATAGTTACTGAGTTGCTCAACGTAGTTCTGGGACTTTCATTCCGGGCTACTCCTGGAGGAGCTTGATTGGCACCCAATGACAGCAATCACTGGTCTCCGTTATAACAGCAGCAGCGAGTTGGTCGCGTTCAGCTGTGATGACCTCTCGATTCGTGTGGTTGACATCCAAACGAGAAAACTCATACGCGAATTCTGGGGTTGCGTGGGTCAGATCAACGACTTCATTTTCTCTAACGATAGCCGGTGGATCGTGGCTGCTTCTATGGACTCACGTGTCCGCGTTTGGGATTTGTCAACAGGACATCTCATTGATATTTTCCGAGTGCCTAGCACCTGTACCTCGCTGACCATGTCATCAACTGGGGAGTTTCTAGCCACGGCCCATGCGGATAGTGTCGGTATCCGTCTCTGGACGAATCGGAGTCTGTTCATTCCCATTTCGACCCAGAATCTGGACGAATCCAGTTTCGCGGATTCTCATATCCCTAGCACATCCGCGGAAGAAAGCGCTGGATCTTTTGAGGCTGCATTTTCCGAGGAGCATTACCAAAATGAGGCAGAGGGGCCAGTGCTATCTGACGAACAATTGAGTAGAGGCATGGTAACACTCAGTGCCATCCCAAGGAGTAGATGGCAGACTTTACTCCACTTAGATTTAATCAGGGTATCTTCCCAAGCTGCTTCCACTATCTGTTTATCGTTACTGATTGTTGTAGGAACGCAACAAGCCAAAAGATCCTCCCAAGGCACCCCAGAAAGTCCCATTCTTCCTGCCATCTGTTTCTGAGAAAAAGAGCCTCAACGCCGACAGAAGTGCGGCGTTATTGCCTGAAAACACGCTCGCCGAACGCTCAAGGATAGCCAGATATCAACGAGCTCAGAATGTGGACGAATCGGGCTCTTTATTCACAGTCCTTCTGCATTCAGGTCGTCAGTCTGACGATTTTGCACCTTTCACAGATTATTTGAAGACTCTATCTCCGGCAAAGACTGATCTAGAGATTCGATCTCTGGATCTGCGAGTAAACGATGGTCATTCTGAGCTGTCGGCTTTCGTCATGGCACTGACTACGCGTCTCCGACTCAGGAAAGATTTTGAGCTTGTCAATGCTTGGATGGCAGTATTTCTGAAAATACATGCTGATATTGTCAGAAAATGCTCCGAGTCGACAGCGAATGGCCACGAAGAGTTGAGAAAATCTCTTGTTCAGTGGAGTGAGGAACAGCAGCGGGAAGCCAAACGCTTAGCTGATCTAGTTGGATACTGTCGAGGTGTGGTGGGATTTATAAGATCATCACGTTAAGAGATGTTGGGCTTGAGGACAACAAATCAGCACTGTTACATGTAAGGTCATACTTCCCGGTACTCTAGTTATACTAGTCGGTAGGCTTATGACATCAGCTCCGGTTTGGTAGCAATCTCGCCATGGTTTTCAGAAGTATCCAGCTCACGGGGCAGGAAACCAATAGTGTTCGCATCACATCGTCTAACGAACTCCAGACATGTATAGCTATCCAGTAAAATTGTATGCAATATATGTCATCTTGTCAGCTGTTTATATCTCTTGAGAAATTCACCCGCAGCATCTTCAGTAAGGTACTCGTTCGCCATCTCAAATCTCGATCTCATCAAGACATGAAGTGGGGGGAGACTCGTGAGTGTGTCCTGCATTTCGAGCATGAGATCGTTGGCCGAAGTTGTGAAGCCAATCAGTTGTTTCATGATTCTCAAAGAATACAGCACAGCCTGGACCTGCGCAGCAAGGTGTATGTCTGCCCAGTCCATCTGATCACCCATATAACCAAAATTAAGGAAGCTGCTAAATGGTTTAGCATTGGGAAGTGGGCCCCCCCAACCATATATATCACACAATGCAAATATTCTCCATAATTTTGTGGCTGTGTCATTTTCGCCCAGGGCGGCTCGAACTAGCCTGAGACGTGCACAGAAAGCCGTCATTTGATTTGCGATCCAGTCCGCATCACGGATTGCTATAGTATCCCTTGCAATTCTTTCTCCCCGTCGTACAAACTCATCGATGAAGCAAGATCTCCGAGATGGTGGACGCGAGGCATTAAAGATCGAATAGCCTAGAACTCTGTATGAGAAGCCGTTCTCCCAAGCGCACCGCCTGGTATGATCTTCGTTTAGAATCGCAAGGTAAAATCGCGGAAATTCGTCCCATGGATTGATCTCTTGGGCATCATATTGCCAGACCAACTCTGAGACTCTGGGGTCAAGGTGGTGAGAGTTCGCAATTCCCGATTTTGCATGTTCTGGGCGATTCTTATATTCCTCGGAGAATTCCATATAGTCAGCAGATCCTTGGGGTCCGAGGGTCTCTTTTGCAAGCCGTATCAGCTCCGTCAATCCTGAATTTGGATGAAGTTTAAGTTGGTATGCTAGTCGCAGTAAATCAGCCAAGTCAAAGCGTTGGGCGAGCGATGCTGGATGCAGCTGCACCGCTTGAAGTGGCACGTCTATTGACCGAGCGCTATAAGTATTTTCCAATTCTAATGAATGAAGAAGCACGACCGAACCATGCGGCCCGATATCATGAAGTATAAGATCCGAATCGTTAGTAAGTATCGCAGATCCTGTGAGTTTCGCCAGGTATGCGCAATGCATATCCGCTTCCCCTGGGACCATGACTGTGGCATCTGCCCAAGGAAAACCTTGTAATGCAACGGAGTCGGCTAACAATAGGGAGCCCCGCGCAGCGTGAAGGATGTTTTCCTTATTCCATCGATACTTGAGATCTTCAAAGACGGCTGGTACCATAAAAGGATTGTCAGGACATTCTCTGTGTTTAGCAGTCAACGTCCGCCCTCGCAGTACCATTTCCAGTTTGGATTCTGGGTCGATAGGGGTATGGTTGAGTCGCAAGGAGCTATGCCTGATTCTTTTACGAGCTATTTCAAGCTTCCTTCTTGCCCTTTCAAGTCGAGACAGTCTCGTCTCTCTTTTTTGGGCGGGCAAAGCTCCATCAAAACATATTGCCTTTCTAGAATATATCAGTCATTATTGCCTGGTCTCCTGCGTGGACGTCATTACATGTCAACTCCCAGTTTTTCTAACTTCAAGAGGTGCAACATCACCGCGCAACTAACTTCGTTGCATGATGGCTGCATATCAGGGAATCCTAGTCGGCTGTCGGACCATCCCAGCAACCTTGAATGGACATGATAGACCAGACTGGGGCCATCGATCACAACGGATTGAATACAAGTTCGCCCCTCCTCAGCACTTTGACCACCGTTGAGAAGCACAGCTTCAGAATATGGAAGTAAATGTCGTATTAGGTGCGGTATACCCATAGCTAGAATGTTTCCTGATTCCAGACCATCTGCTTGGGTATTCCTGTCAGGGAAAATAAAATTTCATTTAAGGCCTAAGGTAAATGTCCGTACTCCGTACTCCGTATTACTGTAGTACATCACAAATTTAAGTTGCTGAGTAAATGTCATGTGAGATATGGGTCCTGATTTAGCTAGAATCTTATGTCACTACAAGTCATCCATCTAATACCCCTCCACATGCTCACAGTGGTGGCCCTCTAGATCTTAAATCAACCCAGGAGAAGAGAGAGAGCGCGCGTGCAGGAACAAGAATATAATAATCTTACTATGCACTGTACTGCCACCACAGAATATGAGAAAAGAAGAATCATCAGTCGATCTTGAAAAGGAATGCATATATCTCAAAGGTCATCTTATCTCTACACAAGCGAGCCAGAACATCGCAAGGGAAGTAATGGAAAGGATAATATAAAATGACTCCGGACAACCCTAATTTTTCTCAGCTCAAAAAAATGAGGACGGAGAAGTCTGTAGCCGCCCTCGCCGTCAGCTATCCCAGATGCTGGTCGGATTGTCTGACCTAGAGGGCCACTCGAAAGAAGGTATGTGATTTCTTGTTATCCAGAAAATAAAAATAGTGAAAATGAGCCTATGATGTTCGATAGATTAGGATTCTGCTAGTCGTAGCTTACCTTCATGTGCCTCAAGACGTGTAATAGTCAAAGAAGTGCATAATAAGTACTCCTCTCCGAAGGCGCCATTCAGTCATCAGGATACTCATCTCGAATATTGCTGACAAATGTATGAGAACTGCCATCCCACCGCTTGAAGTGCTTCCCTGCTATTTCCACAAGCGTTCGCGGTAGCTCGGATAGGTGGGGAGTGATGATATCGACATTTTCTTCCGCAACGTAACGAACACTCTTGTCCTCAGCTCTAAACAGAATTAGAAAAGACAAAAGAAATAGAGTGCAGGTACCATACAATGCGTGGTAGAAACTTTGGTGCCTGCCGGCTTCCAAATGATCGATACCCATCCTTCTCATCCACTGTTCGCTCGCATCGCACTCAGTATCCCAACCAGTTATAACGGCCAAGTACGTGTACCGTCGATGGCGGAAGACCTGACCGATCCTATACCTTACTGCTTTGCGCTCGGGTGTCCGCCGTTTGACCTGCTTGGGTATCTCATCCACAGCTCCCATGACATGGAGGCTCTCGAGTATATCCTCTTGCTGGAGCGTGCCTTGAAAAAGTGGTACAAGATACTGCTCAATCAAATGAATATCCGAAGGAAAGTCCGTAGCGAAGAGTTCCAAGAACCAAGGTAAGTAGTGCCTAAGTTCCACCGGTCGCAGAGAGGTAGAAAATAACAATGACGACCAAAGGGCAGCATATCTTGCACTAACCGCATCGACCGGAGCCAGATGTGCGCTAGAGGACTGAGAAAGACGTTGAACGGAGTTCATGATGTTTTTGCCGCATCTCAACACGATATCAGCAACCTCGGACGCACCAAGGAAGGTCGATTGCTCAGCTGCTGAAGCCCCTAGGATATTCAGCTGATTTTGCAGATTCTCAACCGGAGTCTCCTCGGCCGAACGAAATGGATCCATGAAAATCGGCTCAATATGTGTCGCTGGCGGGATTGCGTTGCCATCAATGTCCTGACCGCTGGGCGGCATGACTATAACATGAACATGGAAAGGAAACCCACAAGGCCGAGCGTCAAGCCTTATTTTTTGGGCAATATAGCAGTATATAGCTGCTGAAATCAATGGAAGTGAATTATGATCAGGATCATTTATTGCAAATCCTAGGAAATTGTGCTCCAAGCAATGATAATCCCGCCCCAGCTGAATGCCTGTCATATTGCTTGCTCGGAGGTATGTTGCGACAGCATGGGCCTTTTCACGAGGGGTGAGCATATTTATATTAGGGCAGTATGTGAATATGTGCGAGGCGATTTCATCTAGCCTACTCACAATCTGAACACTGATTAGTAGATGCTTTACCTCATTATCCTTTTCTAGGTTGAGTGTTTCACATACTTCATCCAAATTTCCGAAACCGCTCTCTGGGATGAAAAGATCAAACGCACCCAATGCCCTTACCAGGGACACAGGTTCCCCATTTCTGAGTTTGACCCATTCTGGGACCGCAATGCTCCGATGGAGACAGGTCAGCAGCGCTCTTGCATAATACCTTTTGTTGAGATAGCGAACGTTAATCACAGGAAAAATGAGCCAGATAAGGTCAATGGGAGCGCCACCTTCTAGCCAAGTAGTCCTCTATGTCTGATCCTGCTGAAATATGGCGTAGAAGAGTATCTTTGATGTCATATCCAAGACCAATGATGGTTCGAAATTTCTTGATTCTTCCAGTTTGCCCTGCAAGAATACTGTTAAGGAGTTGGCATGTCCTGCGATCAATAATATGTCGGGAAATGTAGAGTCCTTTCCAGTCTACTGTAGAGGCAGAATTCCCATATTTTCTTGTCATGTCATGTTTGGGGTCCCAGAATTTGAAGTGGGTTTGACAATAGAATCTCCATAGTAGAGGTTCATTCGCGATACTTCGAAGCCTGCGAGAAGTCTGTCCCAGTGCAGCTGAAGAGCAAGGGGGGCAGTGACACAAAATGATGTATAGTAACTCTTCAGGAAGGCAATCAAGAGACAAAACCATGCCGGTACATAAAGGAGAAAAATTGATGAAGAAAGAGATGTTACATCAGTCTGGATGAAAACTAAGCACTAGGTGATAGAGTAGTTGCTAGATCATTTGGATGCCACATATTCTGTTTTTCATCTCTACCATGCCACAAGGATTTTTACCATATAGAGTTTGGAAAACACTAAAAAGGTAGGGTTGTTTTAATAATAGATATATGGCTAAGAGATTAATACTCTATTATAATAATTATTGCTATAAAATTAGGTGATCATTAAGGACACCCCTAAATTAGGGACACACACCCCTTCTATAAATATAATTACCTAGAATT